GCGTTGAGTAGGTCTGGGTGGATAATAATGATGACAGCTGGTAATATTTAATAATATAAACAGCAGACATGTTTGAAACACTTCCTAGGTGCCACTTTGGCAAAAACACTTCACATATTTTAATTCATTTACTGAGTGCAGACCAGCCATACAGGATTGAATGGGTGTCTCCTCTTCTCTCAGACACCAGCATGAGCCTCATTTCCTTGATAAAACCTTCTCCATTGGATCCATCAGAATTGATATGCTTGCCTCCATGCCCACGGTGCCCGGTCTATTGTTGACTTAATTGTGCTAGCTTTTAATTATTTATCAAAGTGGCTGTCTCCCATTCCAGGCTGTGAATATCTTGAGGGCCGGGACCCTGTTATATTAATCATTATTAGCATCGGCATCCAACAGTGACTGGCACATAGTAGCTGCTCATTAAATGTTTGTTGACTGAGTGGAGTAATTAATACTATAGTCTCCAGTGTTCACGGGCTTTGAAATCTGCTTCTTCTAGAAGGCCATTTTTCTGGCTTCTTACTCTTAGACTAGCTCTATGGCAAGCACGGTCTACAGACCAGCACCCCTGTTGCCAGTCTGTCATCAGGGAAGTGTTGAAATTCAAAGTGAGCATTTAGAAAGTTAAAGCAACCTGATAGAGTAGTTTTAGGCCCCCTGGATTGACTAATTTTAAAAACTGGGCTTTTATTTTGTATGCATTTTTTCAGTTCCTAATAATTCACTCCCATGTACTTTCCAATCATATCATAACAGTGATGGACTAGAAATTTTATAATAAAGAATTGGCTCTTTACCACACATCCTCTAACAAGCAAGTTCCAAACCATCCATTCTCACTAGAATGCCAATGGCTGAGCTAACTGAACCCCTTAGGCAGGAGATATATACTCATCCCACCTCCCTGGACCCCACTTATTATAGTTTGCTCTCCTATCTGAACCTCCGACTGCTCGGAAGGAGATGCAGTTGTCTTTTATTCCTGTTTTTTCCCCTTTCTTCCAAAATGGCAGATTAAATGAGGGAAAGCTGATCTCGGTCTGGGCCTGTTCAGGAAAAGAAGACGGGAAGGGAGGCATGGACCCAAAGAGAATTTCAGAAGGGCCAGGCTGGGTGAAGGAATGCTCAGTGAAAGGCCTGTCCAGATGAGGGTGTGGGGAGGCTTCCCACAGACACCACCCTGAGCCATCAGAGCACTGAAGCCTACAGAGGGCCAGGGGTGACACTAGCTCCTTCACCAAGCCAAGCAGATGAGAGTCAGGTCCTTGAAGGTGAAAGGGAAGCAGTTTCAGGACAAATGAAAGAGGATATGGAATCTTTTGCTGTAAGGCTGTTAAACCAGAGGCTCTCATAACCCCCTGTATCTGTCAAGGCCAGAACTATAAATAAACAGGTCATGGAGTGATGCCAAAGTTCCCTCCCAATCCAGAGGATTAGGGCAGGCAAATAACACAGACAGGTGGAATGTGTGAATTGTAGAGTCCTCTTCGGGCAGAAAGAAGAGCTGACTTCCATCTCAAAAGAAGGCAGAAAGAACAAGACTTGATTACAGTGAATCAACATACTTAAAGATCATGTCAAGGGGAGGAGGATGGACTCTAAGAGGCAAAATCTCTTGGTGTTTATAGGCAGAGGGTATCAGAATCTGAGAAGTGCATGGTGTGGAGATGTCAGTCCCTAGAGAACATGTCCCGACCAGGGGTTGGGTACAGGTCTGGACAGGGCCTGGCAAACCTCCCTGAAGACCAGCCAGCCTCCTCTCCCTAGATTCCACAATCCACCACACTGCTGGGAACTTCTAATCAAGAAATCTGCTTCTCACAGAGAATTGCCTAGAGGACTAGACCAACCTGCCCACACATTCACACCTGGTCCACTCTATCATGATGAAGACAGCGAAGCAACTATCATTAACCCTTCTGAAGCCCCCACTGTGCGCCTAGCACCAAGCCAAGCCCTTTACCAATATTCCCTCCAACAACCCTAGGAGGTAGGTGTACTGTGCCCATTTTGTAGGTGATAACATTGAGGCACTGTTAAATAATTTCCCATGGTTATATAGCCTGTAAGTGAAAGAGCCAAGACTCAAACCCAGTCTGACTACAAACCACCCTGTGCTTCATTTTTGTTGAGAACAGTAAGTTGGCAATCTGGTTGGTACATCCATGCTTAGCATGCCAAGCTCTGGGGTACTAACCTCATGGGGATTTGCAAGACAGGGCCTGTTGCTTCAGCTAGAAAGTGTCTCCCCATGTGTCTCAGCCGGTACACCTGCCGGTCAACACCTCACTATTTCACTGTCCCAAACCCCAGTAGGGCCCAGACTTCCAGGCACTCTGAGCTGGAAGGGGAGAAGTAGGTTTACCACTTTCAGGACTTTGGATGGGTCATCTCCTCTCTGAGTGCCTCGGTATCCTTGACAGTAAACGGAGTTGGATCTCACGAGTTGCTACAATAACTCCAGTTCCAAATGAAGACAAGTTGGACCCATGAATGCACTAGCTCCTGCACCATGTGCCCAGGAGAAGGTAGAAGAGGGGAGGGGAGGCACCGGTTTGACTTCAAAGCCAGCGGCCGCCACCCTGGGACTGTGCTCTTCTTCATATTCTGGGGTCTCTGCACCTAGGTTCTGTGGGGTAAAAATTTCCCGGAGATTTCTCTTTCTCCCCTGAGCTTTGGCTCAGGAAGGAAGGAGGAGAAGGAAGTCAAAAGTTCTGCCCACCTAGAAGGGCTGGAAGAGGCAGGAGCTGCTTCCTTCAGCCCAAGTGAGATGGACAACCGGAGAGCCACTGCCCAGAGGAAAAAGCCCTAGGCCTGGAGGGAGAGCCGACCCCTACCAAAGGTGCTCGGCCGAGAGAGGGCGCTGTGGGCTCGACGTCCCGCCGGCTGGATTCCCAGCTGCGTTACCGCGCAGTAGCGCAGTGCGCGCCGGGCTTTGGGCTCTGCCTAGTCCAGGTGCTTCCTAGTCCTGTCGGACACTGTCATCTCCCCTTCACCCGAGGCTCTTTAGGTCCAGACCCTTGCCTGGACCAAATTGGGCAGGTGCTCAGTTTGTAAGATGAAGGAATGAACAAAGGAACCAAAGGAATGAATAAGGGCCGGTTCCTCAGAGCTTTGGTGTCTCAGCACGCACTGGGAATGTCAATGCCAAATGCGCTGAGAGTAGGGCCTGGCCTGGCTGAAGTGGGGGCGGCAGAGACCTGGAGGCTGCCGGGCGGGAACTGCCCAACGCAATTCCCAGCTTCAGCTGGTTTCCGCGGTGGCTCAACTCTGTCGAGATCGCCCCAGTCCCCAGCCCCCAAGCGTCTCGCTCCCGGAATTCCCCTGATCCCAAGTCCCCTCGCTCCCTCGGACTCTCCCAGTCCAGACTTCAAGCCCGGCGGGCGGCGGGAAGCTGCTTCCACTCCCTCCGCTTCCTGCCCCCACGCCGGTTCTTCCCGAGCTACCTCGGCCACCGCGGTCACCGGCGCGCCCCGTGGACTGTCGCAAACCCGGGCGCAGGGAAAGGGGGTCAGCGCAGGGAGCCGGCCTGTAGAAGCGCCGGGGATAGAGGAGGCCCCGAGCGAGGAGGAACGAGGAGGGGAGCCGAGGAGCGAGGCGCGGAGCAGAGACTGCAG